TACTCTATGTCTCGTCTCTTCAAGTCTGCATAAGATTTCTGTCTGTCCGAAGCAGTGCGGAGTCGGTCTCTGATCACACGAACCTTCTCCTCGGTTTCCTGCACAATATCTGGTCCCTCGAGCTTACGCTCGCTAAGCTCTGTCCAACAAATCGGGGTTCGGCACTTTCTGCCGTAGAGTGCCTCATAAGGAGCCATCTAAATACTCGCCTGGTAACTGTTATTATAGGCAAACTCCATCAACGGCAAGTAACGCTCCCAGTCTTCTCCAAAGTCGATCACACAAGCTCGCATCATATCCTCGACAATCTGTATCACCCTCTCGGACTGGCCATCGGTCTGAGGGTGAAATGCCGTACTAAGGTTCAAAGCTGTGCCAAAAGCCTTCTGAAGTCCTCTCGAGAACATCGAAGTGAACCGGGGATCTATAACAGATATGATTGACAGTGGTGCACCGTGCAACCGAACTATCTCTCTAACGTATAAGTCTGCCAATTTGTCCAAGGAAGAGTCACGTCTGACGGGTAGAAAATGAGCGGACTTTGTCAATCTGTCAACAATGACCAAGATGGCGTCATTCTTTCGTGAAGATCGTGGCAATCCGATCACAAAGTCCATAGTGATCCTTTCCCACTTCCATTCCGGAATGGTAGGAGGGTGCAGCTGTAACGCCCCGAAATCTGGCCCAAAAGAATTAATTAAATTGTTAGAGCAATTGATTACAAATTGGGCCCAAAAAGGGGTTAAAATTATTATTTGGATTCTAAGCCCAACTTTTATGTCATCTCGTAGGAAATATTTTTGTGATCGCGTCGGTTCAGACGGCTCGCGAATCGGAGTTATGGAGCTCATGTTATGACCATTTAATCAGGTATTTTGGGTCCGAAGCCCAATCCTTTTTGGAATGGGACCATTAAATAAACCTAAACCTATTATCTACGACACGATTACCTTATCTTCTTCTTTCGTTCGTTCTTCTTCTTCCGTCCTTCTCCTTCTTCTTCTTCTTTCTTCTTCTTTCTTCTTCGTCTTCCCCAGCCATCGTCGCCGTCCAATTGGAGCAGCCAGCCGCCGGTCGTCCACCCCTACCGTTCGACCACGCCGACATCGCAGACCTCCGCCTCCTCGCCGCACCAGCCAACTGCGGCCTTACTGTCGCCGGAAGCCCGTCGCCTTCAGCCAGGGTCAGCGCCGCCGACGACGGTCTCCAATCGCCGTTGTTTCGTCTTCGCCGGAAGTCCGCCGCCATCATCGCCGTCGAGTCCAGCGCCGGTCGCCCTTCCCCAGCCAGTCGCCGTCGCTGTTTCCTTCGCCAGTAGCTGCCGCCATCATCGCCGCCGGGTGCAGCGCCGCCACGCCGAGCGCTGGACGTCGCCTCCACTACCGGCGTCCTTCCTCGCCGACGAATTGCAGCGCCGCCAGTCGCTGCTCACCGCCGTCGAGTTGCCGCTCCGCCACTGTCGCCGGCGTCCGTCACCGTCGCCGCATCCAGCCGCTGCCCCGAGTTGATATCGCCGGCAGATTAACCTCCACGCCGGATTGATTGGTCGATTTCGCATTTTGACTCAATTTGACCCGTTCGTTTG